TTTTTTGTGCTTCTCTTTATTAGTCGTAATAATTAGTAGGTTGTGTACATTACTCTGTCTTTCCTACACTTACTATATTCGCATTTTAGAAGACGAACAGTGATCAAGCTGATAAAGATATTTATGTATCAGTAAGAACAATTAAATCTTTGATAAGTTTTAGTCTAACTGAAGTTAGTCGTTTGAGTTTTTTTAAATCAAAGCCAAATATTGCCAAGACATTTTTGTATTATCGCAATGGATATGTATATATTTTAAAGTCATAAACCAATATTGAAAGTCATTTTCAATACTTTTATTTCACAAGTAGCGTGGATCGAGGCGATCCACTGGGCCCCTTGACTGTGCGGACAAACACACCAACATTTTCGAGATTAAGACTCTGACTACAGTCAAGGAAATTAGATTGCTCGAGGCATATTATAGGGGTCCCTGACAAACCTCTGATCGCCACGGACAACACAATCTTTCGCCCGTACAATAGTGGAACAAATCATGGCCCAAATAACGATTTCTTTTCTCTCTCTCTAGTTCTCCACTATTGGTAGGAGACAACATTAGGTTGTTCGAGGCGTATTATAAAGGGCCTTTCCAAACCTTTAATTCCACAAACAACACTATCTTTCGCCTGTACAATAGTGGAACAAATCATGGCCCAAATACCCTGCGGACAAACACAAACGCACAGTCAATTTCGGGATTAAGACCCTGACTACAGTCAAGGGAGTAAAATCAATATAGGTCGCAGAGGCTCATATTCAACACATTGGCCCATTATTTGATGCTGTTCGAGCGTACCCACAGGAGTGGAGACGTATTTGGCTGTACATTAACAATCCTGCTGCTGTCATTAATTTCTGAAAAATGCAATATCGATCCATCATGCGCATCACATGCGTTTTTAGATAAAGGGTAGTGAATGTAGCAATTGATGACCTAAGGGTGCTCCCCTAGTATAGCAGTTGATGACCTAAGGGTGCTCCCCTAGTATAGCAGTTGATGACCTAAGGGTGCTCCCCTAGTATAGCAGTTGATGACCTAAGGGTGCTCCCCTAGTATAATACTTAAGGATGTTTTTTTGACCTTTGACCCTGCGGACAAACACACAAACCCACAAACATACCGACAATTTCGGGATTTAGACCCTGACTTACTGACTTACAGTCAAGGGAACAACGAAAATGAAAGATGAAAAAACTGTATAGTGTTCTATAAAATATAAAAAGTAGAGAAGAAATTCTGAAACATGGCAGTATTTTAAATGGTAAACATTACACTTTTATAAATAAAAAATCAACGAAAATTTTTTACCAAAAGAAAACGTTCGTGAAAATTTTAAAACTTTCTCATCTATATTCGTTTTATTTTATCAAAGATTTTTTCATATAAGGATATAAATATCAATAATTAATATATAGAAATCTATCTATTGACACATCGCTATATAATTATTTGAAGATAAAAATGGTATTTGGAAAAAGTTCGATTAGAAAAAAGAAGAATACGAAATAATTGATTATCAAGTACTTACAGATAGATTTAATGAATGTTTACGAAAATGTTGAATTTTCGAAAATGCAGCGACACCGACTGCATTTGTCGTAATTGGTTGATTCTTCCCTTTGCTGGTCGTCGTAGGAGTTGTTCGACCATTTTTCATCATGAGAAGCCATTGGACTTTGCTCAAAGTTATGACTTACCATTGATGAAAGTGGAGAGCAGAACTATGACATTAAAAGATGATTTGGTTATAGTTATTAATATCAATTTTATATGATAATGCTTACACCCGTGCGGACTGTGATATCAGCCTGCTTCAGCCCGCACTCGACGATCAAGACATTTGGAAACAACGCTTGCTCATGGACCTGATATGAGCCAAAACGCTCTCCTTCCAAGGCTAGACAAAAATTTTTATCTTTTTAAAATTTTAAAATTAGCAACGAATGCTTACCGGTGGCCAGCGTAATGGTGGTTCGGTACACTGGCTCACCTGCCTTGTAGCCCATGAGAACCATGGGACCAGCATTTCTCTGTCTTACATTGACATTTCCCATTAATTTGGGCGTCACAAGCACCAGGTCGTCGGTCATGGTGCTGGCGTCGCGGACTGACCAGCACGGCCAGATGGTTCCTATTTTTGGAAAATCAACGTTTTCAAAAATTGCAATAATGTCACTCACCTGGACTTCCTCGTACCAGCGAAGAGGCGTGATCGACAGATCCCTTGGATGCTGCACAATCGCGTGTTCCACCAAAGTTAGTATGGCCCCATGCACTTGTATTGACGGCGTCTTCATGATAGATTGCTGAACTCCTCTCATCAATTTCGTCTATATTCAGATATAATTATATTCAGAAAGTGGTGGCAAACTATCAGTCTTACTTTGGTTCATTTCGATAGGAGTTGAGCATGATATTTGTTTTTTGTTAAGCTCCATGGATCTTTGAGAAAACGAAAACATATTCAGTTTTTAGATGTAAAATTTTTTTAATGAAAGATCTAAAAAGAACATAATATTCAACGAATTCAAGCGTAGTGAAACAAAACTTGTCATTTCTTATGAACAAGTGAAAAAAATTCGCTTTGCATGCAAGTTCTGATATATATATATATGTGGTTAATCATGCTCACTACGGGGCTTATCTCCAGCGGTGTAACCAGAATTTTGACGGTGATGGGGCGGTAATGGGGCTCAGCTGCTGGAATTCTGCTCAATGGTGGGGCTCGAAATGGAATTTGGCTGGAGCAAGTTTCTTGGGTGGTGGAGCTCAAAGATCCGGTGGTGGGGCTGAGTCTCACCTGGCTATACCCTGGTTACGCCGCTACCTATCTCACATTTAAATGAAAAATAAACATTGTTGGAATGTACCCATCATTTCTCATCTTTCAAGAATAAACGCTATCAATCTGGCATCTTCATTGGCACTGATAATCAATCATACGACCAATATAATCAACAAAATCTTTTGCTTCGAAAAAAAAACATTTTTTCAAATATTTTTATAATAATAGAAAATTCAAACTCTTGTTGAACAGAAGTGGATGAATTATGAAGCCATGGAAAAAAACGAGTAATTGCTTTTGAATCTCTTTATCCACCTTCTGTAAATTCTGAAGCAAGATATTATGCAAGACCACTTTTTCGTTGACCACCTAATGTATCTTCCGTTAAATTAGATAATTGTTGTTATTCACTTTTTTCTTTCATTTTACTCTATTGAAATTCAAAAAAATAGATTGCTTTTCTTAAAATCTTTTTTTGTAACTTTTATTTTTGTTATTGTATGAATATCAGCAACAAATGCAACTGTTTCATTAAGATAATGTTTCATACGTTCCGTTCCATTTGTTATTACTTAATAATAATAAAAACAGTTCGTATAGATAAAAAAAAACATCATAGCACTGAGATCACAAACGCACAATACTATGTTGAACGGAAAGTTCGCGGTCACTTGCAAAAAAATTCTTTTTTTGAGTAAGTGTATTCAGAACCAATAACAGTTATNAATATTAATACAGTGGCCGTCAAAATGATTCACCCACCCATGTGATTTGAGATTGCTGAATTTATAGAGAACAACAAAGAATATAAGCCTCTAGTTATTGCTATTCTATACAGTACAGTGACTCATCAACATCTACATGTTTCACTTATTTCATTCTTTTTTATGAAGATTTTATTTCACAAAATGATATGATCTACCCTATTTTCACTTCTTCAAAATTATTCACCCACTTACAAAAGATATCTATTTTCTTGGAGACAAGTCTATGAAATAAGTCAAAATCTTTGAGAATATTCCAGAATATTCTAAAATATACCAATACAGTTTCTAATTATATATAAATAGATGCATGTCATTTCTAAAGGAACTAATTTTTCATCATGGCGCCCAAAAAGAAAGAACACAGTAATGACTTAAGAACGCTTGCAATTAAGCACTTCTTAAATGGTGATTCCCAACGAGTAATAGCAAAGAAAACACTTTTGAGTCGAGAAACAGTGCGATCAATGATAAAAAAAGTATAAGAGTACCAAGTGCATCGGAAACCTATTTGGTCGTGGACGTAAACGGAAGACAACGGCAACGATGGATTGACTAATTCAACGAAAATTAAAATGTGATCGACGAAAATCAACGCGTAGCATTGTAACTGAACTCGAAAAAGAACTAGGAATACTCATTAGCCAGTCAACTGTTCAACGTTGAGCACATCAAATAGGATTATTTGGTCGAGTCGCTCGAAAAAAGCCTTATGTTAATAAAATGAATCGTATCAAGCGTCTTAAATATGCAAAAGAAATGTTGGTCAAGCCGTTAGGTTTTTGTGACACCGTTGCTTGATCAGACGAATCAAAATTTAACCTTTTCGGTTCAGATGGAAAAGTGATGGTATGGAGAACACCAAAGGAAGAATTTGATCCAATGTGCACAGTCCCAACAATCAAGCATGGTGGTGGTTCTGTGATGGTGTGGGGATGTTTTGCGAAGACCGGAATGGGAAAGTTGTGCGTTTTGGATCGTACTATGGATGGTGTTTATTACTGACGAATATTAGAAGAGAATCTGTTACCATCAGTGAGCAGGCTGGGACTCGAGAACAATTTTACAATCATGCGCGATAATGATCCCAAACATACATCGGCTATCGCCAAGGATTGGTTAAAGAAAAATCGGATTCAGATCCTGCAATGGTCATCGTCTTAGCCAGACTTGAATCCCATTGAAAACCTTTGGGACGTAAGGGAAGATCGAATGAAGAAACATCATCCAAAAAATAAAGAAAAATTGGCATTACGACTCGTGGAGGAATGGAATAAAATCGACCTGTCCGCATTGGCAAAGTTGGTTGGTTCTGTTCCAAGCAGATTGAACGAGTGGATTAAAATGAAAGGGTACCCGACTCATCACTAGACTATTTAACATTTTTGTTTACTGTGTGTAAAATCAGATATTTTTTGTAAGTGGGTGAATAATTTTGAAGAAGTGAAAATAGGGTAGATCATATCATTTTGTGAAATAAAATCTTCATAAAAAAGAATGAAATAAGTAAAACATGTAGATGTTGATGAGGCACTGTAAGGTATAGAATAGCAATAACTAGAGGCTTATATTCTTTGTTGTTCTCTATAAATTCAGCAATCTCAAATCACATGGGTGGGTGAATCATTTTGACGGCCACTGTATTAATATTAAGAGAAAATAAATCATCTATTGAAGATTAGCTGATAATATAAATTAGTTTTTAAAGTATAATGATGTTAAAAGAATCAAATAGATTGTTAGAATAGGAATTCCAAATGCAAATATTTTCGAAATGATAAAACCTCAGAGCGCGCGTATGACATTTCCTTTTTAGGCGCTAAGGTTTCAATAGCAGGAACAAAATGTAGCAAATACTTACTGTATAGTTAGTTTTGTGAAATTCACATATATTTTCGAAGAAAATAATAAGTGTAAGTTTTAGGGTCACGTTTTCGCTACTCTCCCTTCTCCCCCCCCCCCTCTTACGTCTCCTCTCTATTACAGACACTTAGCAATCGACAATAAGAGGTGTCAGATTTTCAAGAGTTTTTTTTTAAATTGATCAAGTTATAATTTTGAAAAATAATGAACGTCATTATTTGTAAGTCGGTTAATATATACTATAGTGTGTAAGATCTGCTGTAGACATCATGAATATGTAAAACAGACTTCTCTGTCAATTATTTCAATGATAATAATAATAAGAATGAAAAATAATGAGCAGATAGCAACAATGAAAACAAAAAATAGAGCGTCCGTAAAAGGAAATAGAAGAATTCTCTTTGAAATACAGAAATTAGAGAGGTTCTTATTTTTCGTGATTGATTATCCTGTAAAACAATTATAATCTACGAAAGATTTTTCATTTAACATTTTTTGTATTAGTTTAATGAGCCTAGAAAGTATATTTGAGTTCTATATTCCAGCCCCAAAGAGGCTGTACTAACAAGCTTTTTTGTTTGTTTTTATATTATTATTATTATTAGAAAAGAAACCATATTGTTTGAATATATCGATCAGATGATACATCAACGACAGACCATTGATATTCATCTAATGCTTATCAAACTTGCTCTCAATCTGGTTTCTGCAATTGAACAAGAAAGACAAATTTTTATGTTAATATAATCACCTTTTTATTTTAGTTTTGTATTGGAATATTTTATCAATTTGAAAATCAAACTTAAAAAAAAACAAAAATCCATAAATAATGATAAAGTTTCCATATTCGATTTGTTTTCCGCTAATAAGAAAATGTCAAATCTTTGTTATTAATAATAATAATAATTTTTTTTAATGAAATTAATTGAGCAGTAGAATACATGTTAATCGAAAAGCATAAAAAAAGGTCAATTAAGTAATAAAATCTGTAATTATTTCATTGATTTTAAGAGTTTAGTCGTTATTTTTTAATTAAAGAAGAAACAGGTCATAAGTCTATTAAAATGATTTTTATTCTTATTGTAACTTACAATATTCTTTTCGTGTAAGAAAAAAATTAGTATATTATATTCAAATTTGATTTATTCAACTTGTGTTTATCGATGGATTTGAATAGAATCAAATAGCACAAAACTAATATAAAACTTTTAGTCATATCAAATTTTCTTTTCGAGAATAAATGTTAGGAGAGAGAAAATTGATTAAAATAAATAGTGAAAACCGCTATAGTAGTGAAACAAGATTTTGACGTCATTGCTGTAGTCATAAAGAAACAAATATGAATCATCAAGGGATTCATTTTACTGTTATAACGCAAGAAAAAACTCGATTGGTTTCGACTCTGTCGGATTTTTTTTTGGAACAACAGAAAAAATGACTTAGAATTTTCTGATGAGTCGAAAATTTATTGAATGATCGACGAGTTGCATCGCCAATATCAAATGAATCACTTGTAGATGATATATATCCATGTTTAGACCACTACTTATAAAAAAGCCATTTGATCATAGAAATCGAAACCCTATTTGTTAATAGATAAAGAAGCAAAACAATGCTATTCCAGTATCACCTGTTCATTGTCATGATCTGAGTGAAATTGTAAGTAGCTTTATCTTTCGAGTCTCAAACTGGATTATAAAGAAAATATTGTTGAAGATGAAATCCTACACTAGCTCCTAGTACATCATCTAGAATAAGTCTCACAATAGAATCAATGAATCGATGTAGATCGTTAGCATCTTTTGACACTATAGATGGTTCATCGCTTTCTATTCAGTGTGGAAGGACAAATTCGTTAAGTGAAGTGAAACTTCATTATTTAATATAAAATAGAAACTAAGAGAGATAAACAAACATTAAAGTGAACTATTGTCGATTGTTTCGCATAAAAAATGAATCTAATTTTTAGATGAAATAAATATTATCTTGATAATATTGTACACAGTAATTTGACAACTTTTAACAAATAAATTATTCTTTAACTTTGATTTATTTAACAGTCAATAATTTTGACTAATATTAAGAGAAAATAGTTCAGTAATATCATCAATAAAATGTTTCCAGATATTTAACTAAGAAAACTTGAAAATCAACAATGAAAAAGTAGTCATTTGACAAGATCATTATCATAAGAACAGATATTTGATTTAGTCTATAAATTAACTGACGATATAATACAGATAATTAATCTAAATTCGAATCTCAATTGTTTTATCTATTTATTAAAATATCAAAGTAACTGGAAACAATTGTTGAGAAAAAAAACAAAACAAATGTCATCAATATGATCAGTCAAGTTCGAATATATTGAATTATAATAACATGAAAGATAATCAAATAATATTTATTTATTAATTAGACATAAGACAAAATAAAATTGTTTGAATTTTCTCATACGAAATTTGTCAAATATTACTTTTCTGTAAATGAGAAATTGATTGTTCATATCGTTTTTGCCAACATTCTCCTTGATATACAATCCATTTGATTAGTTTTTTCATGAATTTTTTTGCATAGACATGCTTCAGCCAATGTTCCCGCAATGCTTGGTAACCATAATAAGCACCAGCTAACTGTCTACATATAGCAACTGTTGTGTCTGTATCATCCCCAAGATTGACAGCAACAAGAGTACTCTTTTCAAACGAATCATCATCGGACCAAAATACCCATAGTGCAACTTCTAGAGCACTAACTATATAACCTTTTTCTCGAATATCAGCTTGATAGCCATTTTTTTTGTAGGATCCTTTAGAAATTAACTTTATATCATGATGAAGTTTTTTATCACTAAACCATTTTTTATGCTTCGAATAAAATTGATCATCGATTAATTGTTCTTTTTTATAGCCCTGTAGAGCAACAACAATTAAAGCAGCATAATAACGACAGGCATCGTATGCTTTTATATCTCCAGGAGTGATTTGCCCACTGCAACCCGAATATTCAACAGCTGATGAAGGAATTCTATAGAAAAAGAGTGGTGTGGATGCGAGACCCATAAGAGCTCCATTGCCTGCTATTTCATCTTCACTACAATAAATGTTAAGTTTCTCGATTAATTCCCTACTAGAAAGACAATTCATACATTTAATTGAAATGTCAAATTGCTTGGCAAATAACTTTTGACGACGTTCAAATTCTGGTAGAGATTGACTGGTGGCTGCGCTAATATCAAAACAGTGATCAGTCGATGACATATATCCAAATTTGTAGCACCATTTGTAGCCAACTAACTAATCATAAGGAATAAAATCGCGATGAGCTACCAATGAATTAGCCAAGCAAAGAGCCATCGAAGTATCATCGGTAAACTGAAACAATTTTTTTTTTGTCTTTTAAAACAAAATTATATCTACCAGCAAATTAATATAGAGTCTCCTGGGGTAATTCAGATCAAAAACTCAAAATTTCATTTTGTTTTCTTTCTTTCTAAGACATTTTTCATCATAATACGGTGATTTGTTTATCACAGATAGTTTGAAGTATTCTCTATTTACTGATGAAAGAATTTCCGAGAAATTATTTACATGAAAAAAGTATTGACAAAAATGATGAAAGAGGTGTCGAGCTGATCTGAATTACCCCAAGTGGGATAATTCGGATTACTCCAGCAGAAATGACGACACTTGATTTCCCCATCTCTTAATTCATTTTTTATCAGTTATTTCAAAAGAAAAAAACACATCATTCGATAACCTGAAGTGTCTTTTATGAGACCTGAAAATATCTCGATGAACGGGTGTACATCTGTGATGTAATTATTATAACACTGACACCAGTGTTACTTATGTATTTCAAGTGAAAAATTTACCTGGGGTAATTCAAATCATTCCGGCTATTTCTGCTAGAGACCATATGTGAAACCTCTACCACTTCTAGGATACCATTTCAAGTAGTACTTAACGAACTGATAGCAAAAAGTACTTTTTATGAGACATTATCTCAGTCTTCGACAAAATATTTTAAGTGTATCATAGACTTTAGAACTAAAAACGTCTGATGTTCGAGATTCAGAAATGTTTGGGCTATAACATGGTATACAAACATCTACGAAAAAAACAGTGGTCATTCTACGAAATTCTCAGTAAACTATATTATTATTAGAAAAATATAATCAGATACAAAAAACATTCAATATATGTTAGACATAGTGACTTTGTTAGATATACAATAAGAGTATTTTGATGATCAACAAGACTCTTGAAATGGTTGAGATATCTTTCAAAAAATATACAAAGCTTTAAACAAATGAAATTTCATTGATTTATTTTTTTTTTGTTTCTATAGAGGGATACTCTGAATGGGGTGGAAGTCGAATAGATGACTCCATCAATCAATCTAGAAAAATTTTCAACTGTCTTTAGCAGAATGCCAGTATTTTCCAGTTTTTTTGGCTGACCAATCCGCCAAAACTTGGTCAACTTTATCAAAAACCTTCTAATCTGTCTTTTGAGTCATTGAGTCCCCTTCTTAATCCTGGTGGCTTTAGAACATTTCTGTTTCTATATGTTTGGACTTATTTCTTTTAACTTTCGTCCTTTACGGCAACGTTAGATTTGAGATATTCAAAATTTTCCTTTACTTCTTCTTCAAGACATTTTTTTTTGTGTTTTATCTAATTTCATCAATGATTTATGAATCTAAATTTTCATCGTTATAAAAACTGTTTCTGCGAACGGACACGATGCTTGACACGATTCTACATGTGACGTTGAAGTTATATATTGAACATTATATTCATATTGTAATGACTATATCATAACTCTTCTCGTATATTTTTTGTTTCTGTAAAATCTCAATCAAAAATCCAACATCAAAACTATTTTCAGTAGAAATTGTGTAGGAAATTATTTTGAAATGGTTGAAATATGATTTTCTCAATGAAAGACTTTATCCATTGATAAAGTTTAATTTTCCATTAGACATATATAATTCAAGATGATCTACTGTAGATCAATTTAATTGAACATTATATCAAAAAATTTTCATAAGCACTCAAATCTTTACTGAAAGCTTCACAAGTTCAACATAAAATAATAGTCGATATTAAATCACAATAAGTTTCCTCCATACCACAGCTTTATAATTGCTCAAGTCTCGATGACATTCAATTATCTTTGAACACATAAAAATATGTACATAAAACCTTTTTCAAATTGAAAGTTTTAATCAATAATTTATTTATTCACTGTTGTATCACTCTATTTGATTCACCATTAAAAAAAAAGATAAAATCAAAGGACGAGAGTTAACATCTTCTCTCTCTCTCTCTTTGTCATGTTGAGCGGCAGAATAAAATAAACATTTAACCTTTATTCTGTTCTATATGCCATAGCAGAAGAGACTACCAGAATCTTTCTGCTCTTTGTTCAGTTTTCGAGAAAAAATAACTCGACTTGAACATTTTAAAGTAAATACGATTTCAACTTGATGATTTCTTTTCGATTAAATCGATAAACAAACTAAACAAATAAATAAAATAATAAGTTGAAAAAAAAAAGTTAGATAAAATATTTAATTCGTTCAATAAATGATTAATTAAAATAAATTTTAATAATTAATATTAAAACTAAATAACATTATAATATTGAATAAAATGTCTAAAATAATAGTAATTCTATTTTTAAATTTTTTGCTTATTTCTGTTTATATGTTCGTTTCATTTTGTTTTCGATTGAATTGAAAAAAGAATTAAAAATATGAAGGACCGTTAATAATAATATACACATAATTATTATCGAACTAGTTCTCTCAGTCGAAATTCTCTAAAATTTTTCCTAAAATAATGTCAACATTAACAATATGAAGATAAAATATTGTAGATAACAACGTTAATCACTTGAATGTTTTGTATTATTATTAAAAAGAGAATTTTTTTTTTAAACTGTAAATCATTTATATTTGATTAGTTTAATAGAAAATTATCTTTTGTTGTAAATATAATATATTTGTTAATAAAAGAAAAAGAAAAAGAAAAAGAAAAAGAAAAAGAAGAAGAAAAAGATCGTGTTGTGTATGATAAAAATGTATGTTGATATGATAAAGAATGATAAAAATATATATGGTGAAATAGTATCTCTTTTTTAAAATAGAAGATAAAACAAAAATGTTTTCAACGACAACGAACAATCATACTTCAAAAAGGTCTACTAAAGAAAATGAAGAAAATGAAGAAAAAGAAGAAAATGAAGAAATTTGTCAAAATCCAATAGAATATCGTCGTTCATCATTTGTTCCACGTCAAATATCATTTTCTCAACGACAAGCAACACGTGGTGAAATAGTTCTTGTTCTTTTACCTTATTTTATATTACTTGTTGATATATTTATTTTTTTTCTTTTACGTGGTTTTAAATTAACTTGATTTAATTATTCGATAAATATTTATTAAAAATAAAAAATAAAAAAATAAATCATTTATTTTATTATCATATGTCTTTTTTGTATTTTTTTGCAATAATGTTTTATTATAGTTATTTGTTCTATAATGAAATTATCATAGATAATAATCTTATTAAATAAAAATAAATAATGTTGCTGAAAAAAGAAAATATCTACGACCTATGCTTAATTCTGTTCTGTTCTCTTCTGTTCTCTTCTTTTGGTTTTGGGCTTGATGAAAGTGCAAATGAATGATTCGTTTATGTAGGTGTGTATATGCATATCGCATAAAAAGCGCACAAATATGTCGTTTTTTTTTTCTTTGACGTTTTACTTTTTGCTTGGAGATGAAAATGCACTTGAAGTTATAAATGAAAACAAAAACAGATGAGTAATATCGTTAGTTGAAGATAAAATAATATCTTATTTTCGTTCTAACTAATCAAATGACGACAGATTTAGTCAGTTATTCTTTTCAAACATGGTTCAGTGCGTTGTTTGGAGCGGCTGCTGTTGGATGTATTGGTCTTTTACCTATTTTTATTGTTCCTAATGAAGAAACTAAAAGTAATAATAGTTATCTTTATTATTATTTGTAATTAATTTATTTTTATGTTAAATAGAAGATAAACCTTATTTAGAATTATTATTAAGTGTAGCTGTAGGTAGTCAATTAGCTGATGTATTTCTTCATTTATTACCTGAAGCATTTGCTCATCCACATGCTTCTTCAGTTAATATTGGTCTTTGGACTTTAATTGGTTTATTTGTTTTTTTTCTTATTGAACAAATCTTTCCAGATGATGAAGATGATTCTTCTCCTCATGAAAACTTAACACAAAATCAATTATCAATGGTATCAAATAATTATCAAATAATAAATTAAAATACAAACGAAAGTTTATTAAAATTATTATTTTTAGAATGAAAACAAAATTATAATATCAATAGAACGAAAAATCAAAGTATAGAATTTTATAAATTATGTAAAATAGAAAAAATTAATTTTCTCTTTATAGACAACAGGTTATTTAAATTTATTAGCTAATTTTATAGACAATTTAACACATGGTGCAGCCATAGGTGGAGGTTTTGCTATAAGTTCATTGGTAGGAATGACAACACTTGCTGGAATTATAATTCATGAAATTCCTCATGAAATGGGAGATTTTGCAATACTTTTACGATCGGGTTTTGATCGTTGGGAAGCTACAAAAGCTCAACTTGTTACTGGTTTGGGAGGAATTTTAGGTGCTTCAATTGCACTTTATTATTCAAGTTCAGTTCACAGTAAGTTTATTCTCTTTTTTTTTATATCTTCTTTTTTTGATAATTTTCGTTTCATTTAGGTACTTTATGGGTATTACCTTTTACTAGTGGTGGTTTTCTTTACGTAGCTCTTGTTAAAACAGTACCTGATTTGTTAAAAGAAAACGATTTAATGTAAGATTGTACCTTTTTTTTAAAATGCGATAGATTTATTTATTTTCTTAGACATTCATGTCGACAATTCATCGGTGTTCTTGGAGGACTTTGTATTATATACTTTGCTGTTCTCTATATAGGTTAATTTTAATTGATTAACTTATCTGTGAATTTTTTTTATTATCAAATTTCAATGCAATATAATTGTTTTTATTTGTAAAATTATATTTTTATAATATCAAATAAGTCAAATTTCGACTGTAATCAGGAAAAAAATAAAGCATTAAAAAACAACTAGAATACATTTTGTTCTTTTATCTCTTTTTATCAAAGAGAAAAGTCAATATTGATAAAATTGTTCTCTCTGATGGTAACAAGAACATACAGTTTGGATTACTTGCAACAAGTTTTTTTTTCAATCTGTGCATCTTTGATTTCTTCTCGTCTTACCAATAAAACCGATATCTATATAGAGCAATATGGGCGTCACAGAGACATACACATACATATCATCTCTCTCCATGAGAGTGCCTCAGAAAGTCATTCATGGTTTACAGATCGAGTTTGAGATCGAAATAAAGTTAGTCAAGTTCCGGTGAGAATAGAGCATGATTAAAATATTTGTAATATTTTGATAATTTTTAAGAATACGAAAAAACTCTTGAGATATTACATATAAACAATTAAAACTTAAAAGTTGAAAATTGAAGAGTAGTTGCTCGATTGAATGCAACTTGCAAGTTTCTTATTTGTTATAGAATGAAGCTTCTGTTCTGAAATAGGAGGGAATCTTTAAGGAAGATAAACAAATTCAAGACCTCAATCAAAACGTTATCTATCTTATTGTTCAAAACTTACGATAAATCGGCATTCGATCCAAAAGATTTATCTAGTATTACTTTACCTACTCTAAAAGCTTCAGCCATAAATAATGAGAATTCGTTTAGAAAACTACAAATATGTCTTACGTATCTTTATATGAGTGAAACAAAAATATTGTGTGATGTTCATGTCTATAATATTTTATACATCATTTGAAATCTTGTATGGTAAGTAGTTATGCTTACTGGATGTTATACTATAGAAGAAAACATCTTAAGACGTCTTCTTCTATAGTCTACATCCACTAAGCAACTATTTACCATACAAGATTCCAAATGATGTATAAAATATTATAGAGATAAACATCATGCAACATTCTCGTTTCACTCATACAATGATATGTAAGACATATTTGTTGCTTGCTCAACGAATTCTCATTATGTAGGGGTGAAAATTTTAGAGTCGGTAAAGTAATACTAGAGGTACCTGTGGTATAAATATGACATGAAACTACTATATTGTGGGAAAATAATCAAAAAAAAATTAGGTATATCTTTTATTGAGCCAAGGCAAAATACTTAAGAGGAGTTGCAGCATCAGAAGAAGAAGAAAGTGAGGAACAATCAACACATAAGTTTTTTCTTTATTATGTGAAAACATATTAGACCATAATGATGAAATCACTCACAACGGAATGTGAAAACAGATGGAAGAAGCTGGTAGCGTAATCCATACGAGATTAAAATATGAAACATGGTATAGTTGCTCTGGCTAATCCCATGTAAATATTTTTTGTATAAGACTGCGTCTGAATCACATTTTCTGTGCGTTTAAATCGCAGCGGACGAACACAATTAGCACGTCTCCAGTGGAATATTTCTTGCGTCTTGACGTCGTTTAATAAAAATCTCGTTCAGACGCAGTTACTAAAAATTCGCGTCCAGACGTAATTCAAAGTAAAATCGCGTCTATACGCACTCAATTCGATATTTCAAAAATGTATTACAATCTGTCTCAGGTTTTATCTGAGCCGCCATTGATATTGTCTAACGATGGTCTTGACCCAACTATAACCAACGGAAAGTTTAAATTTTCATGTTTCTAAAATCATAGAAACGAGATTAGAAAAATTGAACTAGCGATTATAAAGCAAGTGTACATACCATTGAGCCACATGGATCAGACTAATATCCATTTCAAAATGAAAGAAGGGTGAATATTTTTCGAATAATTTTTGATAGGAACTAGATAGAGATCTGCAGTTTTCACCGTCTAATAGAAGAAGTGAAACTGCATGGAATCTTGAATACCAGATTTTTCTGACAAGTTTTCTCAGGGTCAATCGTCAAGTTTAAAAAAATCGAGACTTTAACAGATTTAGAGAACAGATTTTTCGTCAAAATATTCGATAAAACGGCACTTTTTCGTGCCAAATCTGCTGAAAACACGTAGTAAAATGTTAATAATTCGTGATTGGCTAAATCTTTTAATACCGGAATTACATAGCTTGTTGAACTTTAGTTAACGATTCTGGTGCACTACTGAAAAGGAAACTTTCAAAATTTTTACACTACGCAATATTTTGTGTTTAAGAAACTTGGTGAGTGGTCTTGAGAAAACTTGTCAGCAAATATCTTGTATTCAAGATTCGATGCAGTTTCATTTCTTCCATTAGATGATGACAATCACAGATCTCTATCTAGTTCCTATCAAATATTATTCGAAAAATATTCGCTCTTGTTTCATTTTGAAATGAATATTAGTTATAGAAGGAAGCGGAAACTATATATGGATCGTCTATTATAAATTTAGTTACAAATGCATGTGTCAATGAAATGCTATGCATATATAAAATTTTAATTATTGCTGTATATGGGCAAAATTATTTGTTAGCGACAGAACTTCGCAAAATTGAAATGCGTATATCTCTGGATAATGAGCTTATCTAGAGCTGGTCTTTATATGCTGTAAGTATTTTAAGTTGCTCTAGATATTCTGAAGAAGCAGCCCTAGGGATCCTTGTTCGTCAGAGTTATGATTAAAGAACTAGCCGTAGCGGTGTCACTCAAAAAAGGATATCGACTGTCACTTCATGTGTTTCAGTTTTTAAAAACTCTCAGTTCATGCACAATTTTTGGAAACCAAATACGGCATAGCGTAGCTGACTTTTGAGGCTATAAAAATTATACGCAAAATTTTTTCTAAGCATACCTAGATTTTCAAAAAAAACGATTTATTCGTTGTTAGCGACGTGACGCAATAAGACTGCACAGCCGAGAGGATACTCTTGTAACCAACGGAAAAGTTTCACACCGACTTCAAATGTTACAAATTGTTGCTCGGAGTCTCTAGATGATGATACGATAAAAGTCTTCGTTTTTGCACTTTTTAGAATCTCTAGAGAAACCGATTTGTGAAAAAAATTGTTTGGAGTTAAACCTTGCTGAAAATGTCATCATAGACGCAGATCGTGTTCTAGACCCTCTTCTCAAGTTTTCAGATTTTTTTCTCATTTCACTAGCGACATATTTGCTAATTAATTATTTATTATTATTAACGATGTACAAGAGCAAGCATTTTCACATAAATCTATGCTCAAAGAATTTATTCAAAAAATTGACTATTGTAGAGAATAAAAGTCAAATGAAAGGTGTAAATATCCTGTTTTGCCTGATTTAGTGCATATACAAAGCATTTACTTATCGAAAAACAGTTGGATTCGATAACTTGAATTGC